TTTTCCACTTTGAATGGGGGTTTCATAGTAAAGGGGAATGAATACAAACAAAAAAAATAATGTTTTTCCTTCTAGTCTGTGTTGGCTGGCCACATTAACTCTCAAATAAATACACAGAAGGTTGTAGCTGAATCATTAGAAAAAGTGAAACCGTGGATTACATAACGGTCGAGGATAACAGTCAACTTTGGTGGCATAGTGAAGACATTTCTGTAGGTCTGTTGAAGAACAAAATAGCGTCGTCTCTGATCAGAAGCAGTGATTAGGTCCATGTTGATCCCTATCAGACCAGTTTGTTGTTGCTTTCCTTATATTTTGGATTCATCACGGAAAAATGTTTTTTTTGCATGAAAGTGTGTTTCACGACATGCAGTCATTCAAACTGAGGAGGGGAACAGTATGGTGTAATTACAGGATTTGATGAAAGAACCTTCGTCATCCTCAGAGGGCGTTTATCCAGCCCGATCGCTCCCGTCTCATAGTTTTGTCCTTTTCTCTGCAAACTATTGTGGCCTCATTGTGAATGTGATACTCATCAGTTTTTGGAAAGATAAGATCAGACGAGGAGACTCTGACCTGGGAAAACCCACCGGCTGCTTTTTCAGACATTGCATGATAATCTGCAGTAGGATTACCTCTCGGAGGCACAGGCAGGGAAAGGGATAATCGTTGCGTTGGCAGCAGGTGCTCCGTCTTAGACCCGCCCCGGTGTGCTGGGATTATCATTACTCGTGTGTCCCAGGGGTTAAAAGGGTTAGAGGACGGGGTTATGTTGCCGCCTCCTCCTCCTCCTGAAGGAAACATGTGAAGATTGTAGGCTAAGGCAGGTTACAGAAAATTGGCTTTTAGTGCCGTTCGTGGTTCAGAGCAATAACAGCTCTTTATGGTCAAGATCCAGATAATAGCTTATTTTGAGTCACGTTTGACTTTAACACCTATAGTTTAACATGGTGGATTAGACAGCAGTGTTTCACCTGTAAAACCCACAATTACACACCGATGAATCATTTCTGTTACAGGCATTCAAACTGGTCTGATGATGCTCCACTCAGGTGTAACTTTCTCCAATCAGGTGCAAGTAAAGTCTCTGCTGGCACTGATATAGAATATTTGTCATGTCTGCCTTTGAAAACAGGAGTGTGAGCAGCTCCAGAAGAAGTATGCTGCCCAGCAGGATGAGCGCTTCCTCGAGCACACCCAGCAGCAGCACATCCTTTACCAGCAAGAGCAACAAATCCTTCACCAGCAAATCCAGGTACCTGGAAATCATTTTTAAAGTCATTGAGTTCCCAAAACACACCAGGATGAAGCAAGAAAGCCAATAGCTTCATTTGGGAGGGAGGGGATACTTTTAGATATTAATGCCTACATCTAAACAAATAAAACCCACATCATCAGAGTGATGAGGACAGGCTTCTGCTCCACAAAGTAGGTTTTATCCAACCAGAGTCACTGAATGAACTGTTTTAGATGCAGTTAAACTAATAAAAAGAGAGGTTTAACTTGTAGATGTAGGGTTAGTTGATTTATGGTGTATTTAATACAGTTTTTAGACGATAAACCATCAGAAATTAAATTAAAACAGATGTTGGGATATGAAACGGCACCTCAGGCTTTGGATATGAAGCCCTGTTTAATCAATCGTCTCGAAATGAAAAAGGACATGACACAGACTGCCCAAGCAAAGCATTAATCACAGAAGCAGCCAATATGGCTGGAAATGGCTCTGGATGAGCTGCAGAGAGCCTCAGCTCGGGTGGAAGAAACTGATGGCTTTTGGACTCTTAAAAAAAAAAAGGGTGCCAGGAGAATAATGGTGCAAGAAATCTGATTTAAGTCTCATTTGTTGTGGGCCACATGATGGCAATAAAAAAAGGACCCTAACCCCAAAGCCAGAGCTGCAATGAAAAGCATAACTAAAGAAATGTTGATCTGATCTGATTGGAGTGAGCTTGAGCTGAAGGAGGTGGGAGCAAAGACGAAACAGTTTCATTTTGCATACACTCTGCATACAAAATGACAATAAAAGTTGTCTAAGTCTAAGAAACTGTAAGTCCAGCTGGTAGAGAGACTGGACTTGCAGCTTTATGTACCGTTATAAAGTGGTTCTTCAAGAGAAACAGCTGAATACTAACAAAATATTTTATTTTTTAGGTAAATGTTGGATCATTTTACTCTGCTCTGGTCGTTAACACGGGTCTGATCTTTAAAAACAATAAAAGTCATTCCTGTTTTTTTTTTTATAGGAATTTCTTTACAAAGCAGCTTGGATTTTTACACTTAATTACAATAAAACTATATTTTGTTAAAAGTGCAAACAGATCCTGTTATGCAGGTTTCTATAGATAACACTGATTGGCTCGTTGAGGCAAATTTCTAGCCTCTTTTCTTTACCGAAATCCTATCTAATTTGGTCGACTTCAACTGTCCGATTATTAACACATCAGATCCATGACAGACATTTTTGTTTCAGTCACTCTGCATTGGATGCATTTATTCTTACTTTATTTTGCATATCTTTGTCCACAGGCTCTGTCCTTAGGCCACGGAGAGAGCCAGCCCAGTCATTTAACCCACCAGCTCCAGAGGTGAACAAACACGCATTACTCATCAGCTATTGAACAGCGAACAATGAACCCCATGCTGTGGCGCAGCAATATCGACTGAAGTGTTACATCACCGTGCTATCTCTCCGTCCCGTTCCTCTCTCAGGTTGCGTATCCAGCCCTCCAGTCCTCCGCCAACACATCCCAGCAACCACCTCTTCAGACAGCCCAATCAGAGTCCTCCGCCTGGCTCTGCAGGCCTAATGCAAGGGCATGGTTAGTAATAGCGTTTTTTTTGTTTTTTTTTAGTTTGGACACGAAAACATTTGGTGTAGGTGAGGTGACTCAGCAGAAATGCTAGGATCACTGCAGATTACCTACAATAACCAAAGGAAAGGCTGATTTCACGTTCCACAGCTCTGCTTTAACCGCCCTGTTATGTATTATCCTCACATTTATTATGCATGGGTTATTAGAGCTCAGCTCATTACTGTCTGTTTGTTTTTAAAACATTCATTAGAAGTAGGATTATGATGAGCATGGGGATGCATCAGGATTTAGAAGGAGTTTCATATTATTGCTTTCTGGATTTATTATCTTTATATAAACACCACTATGAGGTAAATATTCACACTTTGTTTTTAATAATGCATTAGAAGGCAAAGCTTTAGCTGACTGGACAGAAATGAGCAAGAAAAAACAAGATCTTAACACAATAACCTTTGATTAAAGTCATCTAATATTAGTCCAGTGAGCTGGACGAGTTGAAGAAGTGCCGTTTCTGCCTGAATTTGTCCAGGTAACACCTTATCCATTAAAAATAAGCACATGGCATCAATTTTTACCACTTTTACTTTGCAGTTATGTTTGATCTAGAAGATAAAAATTTAAAAGCGGAGAACAAAAACACAAGTCAGCCAAGGAAGGTGAAAATTGAGGTGATAGTTTGGACCCTGTAGATTAAACCAGAAATTATAGAGTGGAAATGTATGAACTGATGGTGAACTCTTAAAGGAATAGTACACCCAAAACATGATTAGCCTTCATTTTCTACTCACCCCCATGCTGAACAACACTCTGGAGTACTTTTTTGATATTTCAAATGCATCTGGAGATCTGGGAGGCTTCTTGCTGTCTGCTGACATTCAAATAATGGAGGTCTATGGCGCCCGAGACAGAAAGGTCCATAAAAGTCCACAAAAAACGTGTCAATATTCCTCCATACTGCTCGTCCAATGTATTCCAAGTGTCCTGAGTGGGTAGCGTCCAGAATTTACTCGAAACAAAGTCATTTAGAATGTTTTTAGAGCATAAACAGTAGTGTATAGGATTTCCTGAAAGCGCGCGCCTGCAAGTTCACGACGCTAACGAAGCCGGCAGACCAAACCAGATGAAAGTGCGCATTCAGCGTCTGCTCTGCCGATAATGCAAGCGTAGAAGAAGAAATGTGCTGTTTACCTGTGCAAAGAAAGAAACAACGAAAGAAAAATGTCTGAGGACTTCAGTGTTGAGGAAGAGCATGAGTTCTTTGCCGAGCTGAATGTGCACTTTCATCTGGTTTGGTCTGCCGGCTTCCGTAGCGTCGTGAACTTGCAGGCGCGCGCTTTCAGGAAATCCTATACACTACTGTTTATGCTCTAAAAACATTCTAAATGACTTCGTTTCGAGTAAATTCTGGATGCTACCCACTCAGGACACTTGGAATACATTGGACGAGCAGTATGGAGGAATATTGACACGTTTTTTGTGGACTTTTATGGACCTTTCTGCCTCGGGCGCCATAGACCTCCATTATTTGAATGTCAGCAGACAGCAAGAAGCCTCCCAGATCTCCAGATGCATTTGAGATATCAAAAAAGTACTCCAGAGTGTTGTTCAGCATGGGGGTGAGTAGAAAATGAAGGCTAATCATGTGTTGGGTGTACTATTCCTTTAAGATTTCCATCACAGCCAATGTTTACATAATGTAGGGTAATTATCATCCTGATCATTTCAATAAAATATTAGCTGGCTTAGATCCACCCAATGATTGGTTTCTGCTCATGCGACACCCCTAAGCTAGCTGTTGCTAGCTAAACAAGCAGGTAGCCTGACACTCAAACAAAGACCAGTAGCTTTTTAGTATCAGCCAATAAGGATGCAGGTCTAACCCGCTGACACTGATTGGCCGACATGGTCATTCAGTTGTTAATACTGAATAAAAAGGCTCTGGAGGAAAAAAGCTAATTTTTAAAAAGTTAGATTTTGAACTCAAAACAGCCTGGATTAAATAGAAATATCTCAACTCTAATTTGAATTATTATAATAGAATCATTTCACTAAAATCATCCTTTTTTATAGTTATAAGCTGATAATTTTACTTGACTTTAGTTGCTACATTGCATTCAAATGAAATATTCATGTAATATTATTTCAAGTTGATATTTATTTCAGTTATTTATTTTCAAGTTTCAATCTAGTGGACTTAATATTATAACAAATTATTTATTTTCAAATTACTAGAATCTAGATAGAGCAATTCAATCCATGTTCTGATGATGCACAGTCTCTGCACAAATTCTTGAAGAGTTTATTTAATAAAAACACCAACAGAGAACAACTACACTGCAAAAATGATCTCAAAATGAGTAAAAATGTCTTAAATTAACGGTATTTACCCTTAATTTGAGCAGATAAATAAGATGATTTGCCAATGGAATGAGTAATTCTACTTAAAATAAGGTATCCAGATATTATGCACTTGAAATAAGACAATGCAATTGTTTTTTCTTAATTTAAGTGTGAATTGTCTTGTTCCATTGGCAAAGTGTTTCACATAAATCCTTAATTCAAGAAAAAATGCACTTATTTTAAGAAAAAAAGACTTATTTAGATTTAATTTTTTTTGCAGTGTAAAGTTACAGCAACATATTTTTGTGCCTAGGAAGCTTTATTTTCTTCTCTTCCTTGATTGTCTGTTTAAAGGTTTTATGTTTGCTTCCCCTTAGATATGATGATAATTTACCTTATTTATGATGTCAGTAAAGCTTCTGCTCTCGCTGACTCCTTCCTCTCACAGCGGGTCAGTCATCAGTGCAGTACCAACATGGCGCTCCAGCCATGTACCAGGGACAAAGCGGCAGCCCGCCCCCCACAGGCCTGCCTCGAGTCCCTCACCCAGCCAATCAGCAGGCAGCACCTGGCCGCCCCGCCGTCCCAATGGCACCGGGCGTCCCCCAACAACAGCAGGTAGCCAAACCTTCACTTTTTTTCCTCACTACAGGTGGTTAAATAACCGAAGCTCGAGTCCAAACGTGTGGGAAGCCTAACCCTCTGTGCTCCTTGAACAGGTGACCATTCAGGTGCAGGATGTGGAGCTGGGAGGAGGGGCACAGAGACCAGGCAGCTTCCTGTCCACGCCGGGCCCACACAGAGTCTTGGGGAAGCAGCTCAGCGCAGACAACGCAGAGACGCACAGGTGACCCCCTCTGAACAGCCAGTCAGCGCTCCCCCTGGTGGCTACCAGCATAATCCAATGGACTGTTACAATCTCCTCTACTGCAGCCTTACAGCTTATTTTTATTTTCTTTTTTGGCAGATATGATTGTGCAAACATGTACTTATTGGTTGTTCTTTTCATTATTATAATTGCATTTTTTTTTATTGTTTTGTTTATTTACATTGTGGACAATTATTGCTCTACTAATATTTGAATTTTAAAGTTTGAGTCTTTTTTTTAGAGGTTTTAAAATGTGTGTATGTGAGAATGAACATCATGTTTGTTACCATTTAAAAAAAAAAAAACAACAAAAAAACTGCATGTGATTCTTCATCATCATTGATTGCTGAGAGGTCATGAAGTAACCCTCCACATCAGTGTGTCTGGGTGAGTGTTCAGATGCCAGTGTGTCCTAACAGGTGGATTAGATCATTCCCTTTGTGACCCTTTGAATTGCTGCCAGGGCTGTCCTGTCCTGTCCTGGCTTGGTGCGCTAGTTTGTGTGTGTTGGAGTCTTTGTTAGATTGTTGTTCCACTAGGCATGGGCCAGGTGCACATCTCAGAGTATAACAGTTACTGTTTTTACCTGTTAAATGTTGTACTTCTATGGTATTAAAGGAATGTCAGAGAATGTTCCAGTGGGATTTTCTCCAGCTGTGTGGAGCAAAAAGAAACAAAGCTGCACACTTCCAGTCAACTGGCTGAAAGGAGCCTAAATTACATATTTTAATCGTTAACTTAAGTATAGAGACTGTAAAACAAGCCTTAATCTGACAGACCAGCCCATTTAGAGTTGTAATTATATCAAATTTGTAAAAAAAAAAAAAATATATATATATATAAACATTTTGCATTTAAGATAAACATTTTTGTCTGTCAATATGCTCTATCCAAAACTCCGGTGGAAAAGATTCGACTACACCAGGTTTAATTTCGTAAGAAATCTTCTTTAAGGATATCCTATTGTCAATCAGAAAAATAATCTATAGATTAATTGATTTTCCAAATAATCTGTACTTGCAGCCCTAGTCGGCTTGTAATTCTTCTGGTGTTGCTTTATGGGGAGAAGAATAGCTAAAATTTAATTAAATTTGATTTTATTTATATAGCGTCAAATTTACAACACAAGTCATCTCAAGGCACTTTACAGTTCAACCAGATCATCCAGTCAAATTGATTCAAAGTTTTCTATCTAAGGAAAACCAGCTGATTGCATCGAGTCATTGACTCAAATACAATCCCTCACACTAATCATGCTTGTAGCGACAGTGGAGAGGAAAAACTCCCCTTTAACAGGAAGAAACCTCCAGCAGAACCCAAAAGGCAGGACAGATTTATTTACACCAAGTAATTAAAGGTTCTTTGCAGAATAAGTAATGGGACAATAAGAATAACATTTAAGATATCCAGTAAGTAAAACAGAAAAAAATGCAGCATTACATGAAAGTTATTTAAAACAACTTATTAGATGATTAGACAAGCTGTAGTGACCAGTGGTTCTAACAGCTTGTCTTTGTTTATGCACTGCAAAAAATCTAAATCTAGATAAGTCAATTTTTTCTTCAAATAAGTGTATTTGTTCTTGAATTGAGGAGGTAAAAGAGACATTTTGCCAATGGAACAAGACAATTTACATTTAGAATAAGAAAACACAATTGCATTGTCTTATTTCAAGTGCATATTAACTAATTATCTTATTCTAAGACTAAAAATACTCATTCCATTGGCAAACTGTCTCATTTACCTACCGTATTCAAATTAAGGGTGAATACACTTAATTTAAGAAATTTTTTACTTATTTCTAGATAATTTTTTGCAGTGTGAGATGTTAGGAGACTGTTGTACACTAGTAATAAGTAAAAAAAATTAATAAAAAATAAGTAAAAATTCTTGAATTAGTAAATGAGATATTTTACCAATGGAATGGGTATTTATACTCTTAAAAACAGATAATTCGATAATATGCACTTGAAATAAAGATAATGCAATTGAGTTTTCTCATTTTAAGTGTAAATTGTCTTGTTCCATTGGCAAAACTTCTCTGTACCTCTTCAATCCAAGAACAAAGGCAGTAATTTTAAGAAAAAATGACTCTTCTAGATTTTGATTTTTACCAGTGTAGTTATGGACTTTTTGTATTTGTTAAAAATTAGGTGAGTGATTTTGGATTTAGATTTTTTTTTGTTTCATGCTTTTTTGTTTTTTTAGTTGAGTCCTAATTACTAACCTGCATTTAAGCAACCAAAATTAGTAATGTTCAGATGAAAGTTTTTAATATCTGATACGAAACCAATACTGCAGCTTTGATTGCTGCATAATACCAATATTGACCTAATATCAGCAAGAATCTTACACACTTTTATTACTTAATTTTTATTGTAAAATGTTAAATAGTTTATTTACCCAAACAAAGAACCATAGTGGAAAACTAATCTGTAAGACTCATTGATTATTAAAGAGTGGGTTACATCAATTTAATCAGAAGTGTTTCTATCAGCTTCCTTATGTCAGATATTTGGGGTTTTTTTTGGGATGATCTTTTTCCAATATGAAAGGCAACTCTTCCTGCTTAACTGGTAGAAAATGTGACCCATCCATCGATGGATTTATCGGACTGAAGAGGAGCAGCATAATTCTTTTTAAAGTATTATGCTGTTTTGATGTCTAAAACATAGGATCTCAGCCTTGAAATAAAAGGGGTTCTAAAGTGGTGCCTTGAGGAACCCCACCTACACAACAAAAAATGCCTTCTAAAAAATAAGAAAAAAAATATAGTGTTTTA